TGGTGTGCTGACAGGTGTCGCCTGGCTACCCACGACATGCAAACAGCCATGCTGGGTGCGGATGGCGATCAGCATCATGGCAACCGTGAGAAATCCTTTGCCGATGTAGAGGTCAAAGAGGAGTGCGACGAGGAAAAGTATGCAGGGAGCCCTAGGAATGGAAACACGGACACAACCAGGTCGTGGCTGTACATCAAGGAGGAGATCAAGGAGGAAATGCAGCAGGACGAGATCGGTCCCTTGAGTGTTGCGGCAACAACTGTCGAGTACAAGATCAATCAGGAGGTCAAAGAGGAGGTGGAAGAGAAGGTGGACTTGGGCCAAGATTCGGTCGAGCCCGCCACCACTCCCACAACCAAGCGTCGCCGCCTGACTCGAAGGAACATGCAAGGGAAAGCAGCAGCCGCAGGTGCCACAGAGACTTTGGTTCAGGCTTTTATCAAGAAGGAAAAACCTGATGATATTCAAGTCAAGCAAGAGGAGAGTGATGACCAAGATGCCCATGCCCTGTGGCTCCAAGTGAAGAAGGAGATAAAGGATGAGATGCAGCAGGACCAGAATTGTTGCTTGGATGTTGGCGCCACCATTGCTGGACATGAGGTCAAGCAGGAAGCCAAATTGGAGGTTGAAGAGAAAGTCGACGCAGGCAATGACCCAGTGGGGCTGCCCAGCACTCCCAGAGCCAAACGTCGCCGCCTGACTCGATGGAATATGCGAGAGAAGCCAGCTGGCACAGGCACTGTGGCTCAGGCTTCTATCAAGAAGGAAAAGCCTGATGATGCTCAAGTCAAGCAAGAGAAGAGCAATGACCTAGACCACCATGCCTTGTGGCTGCAAGTAAAGCAAGAGATCAAAGAGGAGATGCAGCAGGATCAGATTGATTGCTTGGGTGTTGGCACTGCCATTGCTAGACATGAGGTCAAGCAGGAAGTCAAAGAGGAGGTCGAAGAGAAAGACGTAGGCAGTGATCCAGTGGGGCTAGCAATCAGTTCAACTCCACCAAGCAAGAAGCGCCACTTGGCACGCAAGGAGACCAAGATCAAGAGGGAGAAAAGTGATGACCGTAAAGCTCCTCAGGACAAGCCGGATGGCCGGTGGCCGCAAGTCAAAAGCGAGATTAAAGAGGAGTTAGGCAAGGAGGATTCAACGGCTGACAGCATAAAGATCAAGAAGGAGCATATAGTGGATGCAGGCTCCAGACTTCCTCCATCGAAGGAGGCGGGATTTCAGCAGATGGGCAACGATGGAAGAGCCAGCAACCCAAATCCAGGTTGTGCTTTGGGGGTCCCTTCCAAAGAGCAAGAACCAAGAAATGCATAACAAAAAAGAAATACCTAGGTCAGCAGAATTTCCAAGACCCACAGTACCGACAAGAAGTAGTGTTGCCTTTTCAAGTACTATAGATGCTAACCTGCATCCTGAGCGTGCTGGAGGCAGCGAGTGCTGATGATGCCTCCTTGGATACTTTTGCCGCAGCAGCAGCTACTTGGGCACAGCAGTGCCTCGCATTCCGAAAGACCAAGACGTGGACGCCGACCAGGCGCCGTCACTGACGCGTGTGGCGCCGTTTGATTGACCATATAGAAGAGGTACTCCCAGTCGAACTAATCGCATGAAAAGTGGAAAACCACCTGTTCGTAGAGGGAAGTAGTCTTCCAAGGGGCGGCCATGTTCCACTTCCATGTGAGTGAGTCAGTGTGTAAATGTTTCAAATCCTTCAGGGCCTGAACTTCAGGGAGTGTCAAACGGTTTGTTTGGGAGAGAGCAGTGGTTGACAAGAGAGCATCATTTGCCCCTGAGAGGTGACCAGTGTGTCGACGCACGGCAGGAAACGTGTGTTTATTTATGTTGGCATATGCACGATTGTCGTGGCTTCCTTGACGATGCATGAATGGGACTGTCTTTGCCTTTGATGTTCGGAGACTGAGGGTCCCACGAAGTGTTGGGGATGAGATCAAGACCAAGGAAGCTGCGGCATGTAAACATAATAGAGCAAAGACCTCATGTTGCTGGAGTTGATCACACACAAACACTATTCAATGAGGTTTTCAGGACCTGGTTTTACTAGGCTCAGACTGGTTTCGTTTGCGCTGTATTTCATAGGACCTGTAGGGAAATATTGGTTGTGTTTGTGCTGGCTTCAAGGCATTGGCGTATTGCCCAGACGCTCCATGAAAACAGACTTGTCCGTCCCTGAAAACGTACCAGGATTGGTGATACACCCCAGACCCTTTCCACGTGAGGGTCCCATCCCTATAGATGAGGGTCCAAGAGCCTTTGGGTAGCAGGTGTTTTTGGCTTTGGTAGTTCACTCAGTCGCAGGCCATGTTGTCCTGCCAACTTCTTCGTCGGCCCTGTGGATGGTGTGCCAACAGCTCCCGCAGAACATGCGCCAGCATGTGTGCAGCGATTGTCTGCCTACCGTTTGCGGTGTCTTCGGCGATTCCACCGCAACCATGATCCCCAAACGCTGCTCGCGGAGGAGGCCCATGATCAGGGCTGTTGCATGTTCTTGAACACTGACAGATCTGACCGGAACGAGGACATACGGTGACATACATATGAGCTCACATGCAATTTACCCACAATGACTATGTGACTATGCGGCCCAATCGTTCGAACACGAGGTGTGCCGCCTAGTTACCTAGTTCTTACTTCTGAATGACCAGCCAGAACCAAGTGCTTTGACAGTACGATTTGACTGCAATCTTCAGCTCCAAAGTCAGCTATCCATGGCATCGATCATCGATCGTGTTGGAACTATCCCGCGTGTCCTCCCTCTTATAGTGAGACTTAGTGAGAAGACTTGGTTTTGGAATGTTTTGGATGGTTTTGGTTTAATCTCCAGATGGTGGTGTTTTGGCACAATCTGTGTGAAGCTAGTTCCGAAGTGGAATCCTTTCAACCTGTGCATCACATTGCTCGCGCTCAGAATAGCCCAAGCGTGCTTGCTTGTTGTCCTGAGAATGGCTTTGTTTGGATCGACCTCCAGTTCATATTGTTAATGAAATTTTAACATCCTGTCGAGTCAACCTTTCGACCGGCAGGTGCCAGCAGAGTCCCCGATGCGGTTTGCTTCGCCCAAAAAAGACCGGGCACTGTCACCTGAAGAGCTGCTACTGGCGGAACAGGACTGGGGGATTGAAGCGGGCAGTTTCATTCCAACAAATGTTCAATTGGATTTGTGGTCCACCATTGACACCCATTGATGCATTGTTTTACTAAGGATTTGATACTCAAACCTTTCTTTCAAAAGAACTGTGGAAGTTGTTAGTTTGAAGAGCGGGGAATGTTGCCCTTTCACTTGGAAACCAGGACATAAAGGTCCGTGGCTTGGACCTGATGAAGATGTGGCCGTGGATGAGGGATCTCCCAACTTGTTTGTGGGCTGGACGTGGCTGGGCCTTCGATGAGAATGGTCTACGGCGCTTGTCCACAAGCGGCGGCAGCGATGCCATGGAAGGTGTCGAAGTCTGGGACTCAGTCGGCCAAGCACCCGAAGAGGTGAAGCCGATGGAAGAGATCGTCAAAGAAGCCACAGCTGCAGCCACAGCAGGTTTCTCTTCAGAAGGCCCTGCGACATCAGAGAAACCAGTTCGCTTCAGGAGGGACAATTCGGGGAAGCAGAGTGGGGTTCCAGATGTGACCTGGCACCCAGCTTG